TTTGTTTCTATTGAAATCTACCTGCTACTCACTTATTTACATACCATACTCAGTGGATCATGGGAAAGCATGCCATAGCACATTGAGGAAGAAATAAAAATAATTCTCTAAAAATATATTAAATATTTTCCATTTGTTTTCTTTTAGTCCGAGAGAGTGCAGAAAGCATTATGGGAAATTTAAGCATGGTACAGTGAGTGAAAACTACTCCCAATTTCTTTCCAGACCCACAATATACACCATTTCCCAGGCACCCTTTTCAGATCCATCACCTCCATGAGTCTTTTAACAGAAAAAGGGCTTTTGAGGGGGGTCAAATTAGACGACACTGAACTGACATCTACAGGATCACTATTGTGATGCCACAGTCAGTTAGAAGCATGCACGGGGTCCATACATGCACTCGCAATGGCGTTCGTCACTTGTCTTCATAGACAAAGTTTGAAAATATACCATTGCAATTATGGAATGGTTTGGTTGACCAACAGTTCAACCCATTATTTATTAGTTTTTTTTTTAGTTTTTAGCCTTTAATTTGGTTTGCATGCTTTTCTAGATACTCCATCAGGGAGAGCAGGGTTCAAAAGTCATCTGAAAACAAAAACCTCCCCATATCATTTTGCTACATGCTAGTTGGGTTTTCAGTCTCTGTAGGAGACAAGCACCTGCGAGATTTCTGGACACGCTCACAAAGTCTCCTTTGCTTCAAATAAACCCTATCGGTATGAGCATTTTCCCTCGGGCCAATCTTGCATGCTTTGGATCCTTTTGAGTCGTTGTGCCGTTCAGTCAACAATCCAAAGTACTAAATACTGACACAACACATCCACATTCAGGAGTAATAAGAGAAGCCTACGAATCAGTATCTCTGCCAAGTGCTGCGCTAAGGAATACTGATTTGAAGAGTTGAATATGAGACGGAAAGCGAGATACGAACAAAGATAGATCGATAGAGAATGAAAGGAAGAGTGCAGAAGACAGCAAAAATGGAAGAAAGTCGTAAAAATCACACCGCCGTTGAAGGCAATAAACGCAATGAGCAGCTCACTCTAGCCAAATGAGTGGTCACAGTTCTTAAGATGCGGTCACACTAGCAATATTTCAGTTTGGCTGCCCATTTTTCAATATTTTTAGTCGCCAATAGCGTAATTATGTATGAAGCAGCTTTCTGTCAGTCGGCGCAACAAATATACATGACCAACTAGTTCTGCATCAGGTATTTTTTCAAAATGCGCAGATTCCTGAAACAACTGGATTTCGCCCTCGAAATTCCGAGCAACGGTTTATGTGACCGCACCTTTCACAAGGTCCGTCACCTAAATTCACAAATTTATATGGATGGGCCTAATGAATAGGCTACTAATGAGGACAGCGGTTTTTTCACCCTGGTTCTTGCGTGAGCGAAAGGCAGATTCAGAGGAACTGAACAGAGGGATTTTATCAGCCTTTTTCAGCCTTCCTTCCATATTACATGAAGCACTGCACTTCCTGTTTCCATGAATAAATAAAGCATAATTACTTGCACACATAGTCGTGATGAGGTTTCCTTCAGGGATACTGCACAGACTCTGCCGCCCTGCTGTTCAAAATACATTCAAGTCCACAGGGGTCAACTTCGTCTGCCAAAAGTACAGGTTCGTACCCTTCACGAACCTTTAGTATACTACTACAGAGCAGTGGGTATGTACGAACGGTCCCCCCGTGACCATGCCCACCCGTCCCGTGTCCCGCTTGAACTCATCAGCAGTGGTTGCTTCTATAAAACTCCATTTAGTAAGTATTACAGTACACACACACACACACACACACACACATCAGCGACATGGCTAGTCTTAGACTCCAGTGAAATGCTACGCAGATTTGGGGATGCCTGGGGGTCAGTAGTCCAGGGGGGGCGAGGGGTGGACGCGGGACGGGCCGCCGGAGGGATGTCCACCACCACTGTTTATCATCGTCATCTTCTCCGCCGTCCTCAGCTACTCCCAAACCAGAGGAGATGGAGGCATCTCAGAAGGCTGAGCTACTGTTGAGCTGTACACAGAAAGAAGAGAGGGATTGTTATGTCTTGCTTTAAGGTTAAGGAGATGTCTCCATCTAGTGTTGAGACACTGACAAATAAATTGCAAAATAAGCTTGAAAAGCCCCAGATTTGTCAGGACACCAAAAGTTTCAGTAGTTTTAAGCAGAGCTGGGTAGTAACTGATTACATGTAAATGTATTATGTAATCAGATTCCAAAAATTAAGTACTTGTAATTAGATTAAATTGCATTTTAAAATACTCTTAATCAGAATCCAGTTACTTTTTCATTGATTACGTGATTACATATGCATACAATAGCACACTTTTCTCCCTAATTCCTCTTTTGCATCTTTTAAATGTTCCTTTCTAAAATAGTCTACCTCGTATACACACTCAGAAAGTCTTCCAGTTTTGTGGACGTTCACACAAAGACCAGTCATTAGTCAGGTGGCTACGCAGCATTTGACCACTGGATTTACAAAACCATTACAGGTTTAAGAAGTGTTTCAATATTGCATCAACTATTGATTAACACAATTTTTATTGGAATTATCACTAGGTTATTTAACCTTTTATTACTGTCGTTGGGAGGCTTGTGTCTTTCAAACACATTAAAATGCACAAATTCATGTTATTTCTTATTTACATGCAATGTCGGCATTCCCAAACTTTTTTTTTTTGTCATCTGAACCTCTGTATTTGTTAATTACAATGAATGAAATATATTCTGTGTATTTTTATATCAATATGCTACAACATTATACTATTTAAATTAGGGCTGGGTTTTGACACAAATTTCACGATTCGATTCTATTCTCATTCACAAGCTTGCGATTCGATTCGATTACCAATTCGATTCGATTTGATTCAATATCGATTATTTTGGATATATATCAGGTACAGTACATGCCAAATTTTCTCAAGGAAAAAAAAATCTCTCAACTAATGCTGTAAAATATACATGAGAGTCAGTTGGTAGGCTACTACATTACTATAATATTGAAGGTTAAAATTAATGAAGTTTTTACAATAATAAAGTTACAGTTACATAATAATATTTCTACTTCAGTTCGTTTTTTTGAAATATAAACAAATGACTGTCATAAAAACTTTATGGATTTATTCAAACATAAATTAAACAGTGAAGAACAGTAAAAAATATACTGAATATGTTATATGGTGCATATTTTAAGCAAAATGCCCCTCTCAACAGTTTATTTTTCTATATGACTAATGAGTTTATGGTCACCGAATATGTTTTTTTTTCTGAGGTAAATGTGACGTTATGTAATATTGTTTACAAGCCAACACTGATTGAGCGATTACATGAGACAAGATACGGATAGTAAAGTTCTACTGTTTCTTTTAACTTACCTTCGGATGTTTAGTCATGCTTATTTTGTGCTGAAACTGGTTGTTGAACTGAGGCATAACAGCGATCTGTCACTTCACATTAAACAGCGCCAAAACGGCATTTATTGTTTAAATATTGTACAATGGACAGAATTTGAAATCTGAGACTTTGTTTCATAATAACAGTACCAAAGCACAACGCTTATTGCGATTTATTGGATGGGAAGTACCCTTCAATGTTCCGTCCATTAACTGAAAACAGGCTAGACTAATCGATTCTTGGGATTTAAGAATCGATATCGTTCCATAAAAATGAGAATCGATTAATATCGAGATATCGATAATTTTTACCCAGCCCTAATTTAAATTGATGTGATAAACTAGTTAGGTCAAAAGTAATCTAAAAGTAGTCTGATTACACTACCTAAAATGGGTAATATAATGGATTACGTTACTAACTACAGTTTTTGTCATGTAATTTGGAATCAGTAACAGACTATAATTTGTAAGTAATCTACCAGGCTCTGGTTGTAAGCAATAACAGTTAAACACTCAACATTAAACACACTTTTATGTAAAAACGTTTGCTTAAATATTAAACAATGGCATGTTGCCTTCAACCCAAAGCACTTCCAAAACATGGTTCCCCTTAAAAAAATGACAGTCATGCTCACTGGATTTGATTTGGCATGCCTGTTAACCATGAGGATGAGAACATGGACATGAGGGTGAATCTCAAAATCTGTCAACCACTTTCTGGCTCTTATTTAATTTCAAAATTAAAACAAAAAAAAAGCATGTAGGACCAATACTTTTTTAGCATTACAACATAATAATAAAAAAAAACTGATCACATTTAAACCCCTGCCACAACTGTCAGCAGCTTTTGTAATGTTAAAAATCTCCTTCTCACTTCTGAAATGTAAAATAATAATATTAATTACCCGAATAAATAAACATCTAAATGATTTAAATATAATTTAAATGATAAAATACAGGTGCATCTCAATAAATTAGAATGTTGTGGAAAAGTTCATTTATTTCAGTAATTCAACTCAAATTGTGAAACTTGTGTATTAAATAAATTCAATGCACACAGACTGAAGTAGTTTAAGTCTTTGGTTCTTTTAATTGTGATGATTTTGGCTCACATTTAACAAAAACCCACCAATTCTCTCTCTCAACAAATTAGAATATGGTGACATGCCAATCAGCTAATCAACTCAAAACACCTGCAAAGGTTTCCTGAGCCTTCAAAATGGCCTCTCAGTTTGGTTCACTAGGCTACACAAGCATGGGGAAGACTGCTGATCTGACAGTTGTCCACAAGACAATCATTGACACCCTTCACAAGGAGCCACAAACATTCATTGCCAAAGAAACTGGCTGTTCACAGAGTGCTGTATCCAAGCATGTTAAATGAAAGTTGAGTGGAAGGAAAAAGTGTGGAAGAAAAAGATGCACAACCAACCGAGAGAACCACAGCCTTATGAGGATTGTCAAGCAAAATCGATTCAAGAATTTGAGTGAACTTCACAAGGAATGGACTGAGGCTGGGGTCAAGGCATCAAGAGCCACCACACACAGACGTGTCAAGGAATTTGGCTACAGTTGTCGTATTCCTCATCGTCATCTTCTCCGCCGTCCTCAGCTACTCCCAAACCAGAGGAGATGGAGGCATCTCAGAAGGCTGAGCTACTGTTGAGCTGTACACAGAAAGAAGAGAGGGATTGTTATGTCTTGCTTTAAGGTTAAGGAGATGTCTCCATCTAGTGTTGAGACACTGACAAATAAATTGCAAAATAAGCTTGAAAAGCCCCAGATTTGTCAGGACACCAAAAGTTTCAGTAGTTTTAAGCAGAGCTGGGTAGTAACTGATTACATGTAAATGTATTATGTAATCAGATTCCAAAAATTAAGTACTTGTAATTAGATTAAATTGAATTTTAAAATACTCTTAATCAGAATCCAGTTACTTTTTCATTGATTACGTGATTACATATGCATACAATAGCACACTTTTCTCCCTAATTCCTCTTTTGCATCTTTCAAATGTTCCTTTCTAAAATAGTCTACCTCGTATACACACTCAGAAAGTCTTCCAGTTTTGTGGACGTTCACACAAAGACCAGTCATTAGTCAGGTGGCTACGCAGCATTTGACCACTGGATTTACAAAACCATTACAGGTTTAAGAAGTGTTTCAATATTGCATCAACTATTGATTAACACAATTTTTATTGGAATTATCACTAGGTTATTTAACCTTGTATTACTGTCGTTGGGAGGCTTGTGTCTTTCAAACACATTAAAATGCACAAATTCATGTTATTTCTTATTTACATGCAATGTCGGCATTCCCAAACTTTTTTTTTTTGTCATCTGAACCTCTGTATTTGTTAATTACAATGAATGAAATATATTCTGTGTATTTTTATATCAATATGCTACAACATTATACTATTTAAATTAGGGCTGGGTTTTGACACAAATTTCACGATTCGATTCTATTCTCATTCACAAGCTTGCGATTCGATTCGATTACCAATTCGATTCGATTAGATTCAATATCGATTATTTTGGATATATATCAGGTACAGTACATGCCAAATTTTCTCAAGGAAAAAAAAATCTCTCAACTAATGCTGTAAAATATACATGAGAGTCAGCTGGTAGGCTACTACATTACTATAATATTGAAGGTTAAAATTAATGAAGTTTTTACAATAATAAAGTTACAGTTACATAATAATATTTCTACTTCAGTTCGTTTTTTTGAAATATAAACAAATGACTGTCATAAAAACTTTATGGATTTATTCAAACATAAATTAAACAGTGAAGAACAGTAAAAAATATACTGAATATGTTATATGGTGCATATTTTAAGCAAAATGCCCCTCTCAACAGTTTATTTTTCTATATGACTAATGAGTTTATGGTCACCGAATATGTTTTTTTTTCTGAGGTAAATGTGACGTTATGTAATATTGTTTACAAGCCAACACTGATTGAGCGATTACATGAGACAAGATACGGATAGTAAAGTTCTACTGTTTCTTTTAACTTACCTTCGGATGTTTAGTCATGCTTATTTTGTGCTGAAACTGGTTGTTGAACTGAGGCATAACAGCGATCTGTCACTTCACATTAAACAGCGCCAAAACGGCATTTATTGTTTAAATATTGCAATACAATGGAAATCTGAGACTTTGTTTCATATTAAAAGTACCAAAGCACAATGCTTATTGCGATACATTGGCTGGGGAATGCCCTTCAACGTTCCGTCCATTAATTGAAAACAGGCTAGAATAATCGATTCTTGGGATTTAAGAATCGATATCGTTCCATAAAAATGAGAATCGATTAATATCGAGATATCGATAATTTTTACCCAGCCCTAATTTAAATTGATGTGATAAACTAGTTAGGTCAAAAGTAATCTAAAAGTAGTCTGATTACACTACCTAAAATGGGTAATATAATGGATTACGTTACTAACTACAGTTTTTGTCATGTAATTTGGAATCAGTAACAGACTATAATTTGTAAGTAATCTACCAGGCTCTGGTTGTAAGCTTGTAAGCAAAAACACTCAACATTAAACACACTTTTATGTAAAAACGTTTGCTTAAATATTAAACAATGGCATGTTGCCTTGTTGCCTTCGCACTTCCAAAACATGGTTCCCCTTAAAAAAATGACAGTCATGCTCACTGGATTTGATTTGGCATGCCTGTTAACCATGAGGATGAGAACATGGACATGAGGGTGAATCTCAAAATCTGTCAACCACTTTCTGGCTCTTATTTAATTTCAAAATTAAAACAAAAAAAAAGCATGTAGGACCAATACTTTTTTAGCATTACAACATAATAATAAAAAAAAACTGATCACATTTAAACCCCTGCCACAACTGTCAGCAGCTTTTGTAATGTTAAAAATCTCCTTCTCACTTCTGAAATGTAAAATAATAATATTAATTACCCGAATAAATAAACATCTAAATGATTTAAATATAATTTAAATGATAAAATACAGGTGCATCTCAATAAATTAGAATGTTGTGGAAAAGTTCATTTATTTCAGTAATTCAACTCAAATTGTGAAACTTGTGTATTAAATAAATTCAATGCACACAGACTGAAGTAGTTTAAGTCTTTGGTTCTTTTAATTGTGATGATTTTGGCTCACATTTAACAAAAACCCACCAATTCACTCTCTCAACAAATTAGAATATGGTGACATGCCAATCAGCTAATCAACTCAAAACACCTGCAAAGGTTTCCTGAGCCTTCAAAATGGCCTCTCAGTTTGGTTCACTAGGCTACACAAGCATGGGGAAGACTGCTGATCTGACAGTTGTCCACAAGACAATCATTGACACCCTTCACAAGGAGGGTAAGCCACAAACATTAATTGCCAAAGAAGCTGGCTGTTCACAGAGTGCGGTATCCAAGCATGTTAACAAAGTTGAGTGGAAGGAAAAAGTGTGGAAGAAAAAGATGCACAAACAAC